CAGCAGGGGAGATCCTTGAGCCAAAGGAATTCAGAGGATGATTCCGTAATGCTATCGGGGCCCTAGTAAGAGATAAATTGAACCCAGCAATCCCTAACTAGAAAGAGGTACCAGAGAAGAAAAAGGATGAACTATGGGATAAGCAGCTGAAGCTCAATTTTAGATTTCCGGAGGGTAAGCACGAACTGGCAAAAAAATGCTTTCAAAATCATGGGAGAGTCATTCCGACGTTGGAGGTCGGAGCTCAACAAGAAGTATATCCAAAAGGGGTTAACTCCCTTCAACGAGCTCAGCAACATAACTCCTAGTCAATGGGAGGAGCTCGTGGCTTAGAAGACTTCACCAGAGACATTGGAGCTCAGTGCCCGTAACACTGAGCTGGAGAAGAGGAACAAACACCACCATCATCTAGGCCCCGATGGCTACTATGCCAAGGAAGAGCAGTTTAGGAAGATGGACGAAGAGGCCATAGCTGCTGGGAATATCGATGTGAAGAATTTGAAGGTACGCTCAAGAAATTAGATATATGCGAGGAGTACAGAATCATCCGGCGGTAATCTTAAGTTTGATAAGCCAGAGACCCAAGAGGCAGTATCAAGGATACTGAAATATGCTGAAGACAAGGAGAAGGGCTCATTCAATCCTTCCAGAGAGAGGGACGAGCTTAGCCTTGGCTTGGGAAACAACGAGCACACAGGCCGCACTAGGGGGCTAGGGAAAAGGACGACTTGGAAGCACGGATTCGAAGAGGACAGGCACATGTGCAAGAAACATGGCATAGACCAGGAGGCTAATCTTGAGCTCCGTGTGAAGGCTCTAATCAAGGTATACTGGAGGAGCAAGGATCTGTCTATGGAGCCACGCATATTAATGACGTGATTTGGGAGAAATGGCATTAGTTGGCAGCCCTCCTAAAGTTCCTAGCAGCCAAGGTTCCACTGCAGCCACAACCCCCGTCGATCGCATATGGGAACCAACTAGTTGCACCTTGGTGTTTCTCAGCGGCCGGCAGAACATTGTGATGGAGGTGGCAACGGGTGTGGCACATCCTCCGGTGGCTTACACCACAATAATAAGATACCGCCGGACTACACTAGGGTCGAGGTGCATACCGTGAAGCCCGAGTTCATGCAAGTGGAGGATAGACTACACAACAACCGAGAGGTTGGTGTTACGGAGGAGACGTAATGGGGTAGTTCATCCTCTGGCACAAATGGGACATTATATTGACTGCTTATTCGCCACCTCCCCTCTCTCAAATTTAGAGCGAGTTGTTAAGGATGGGGAGATATTTTCACCGTCTCGTGACCACCACATTCCTGAGATGCCACATTCTTCGCCGCCTCCTAGCGAGCATGTGCCTGATAAACCACAACCTTCTCCAGCTCATACCGAGCAAGTGCATGATGAGATGCCACAGTCTTCTCAACAAGCATAGCTGATACATGAACAATGAGTGTCTCCTGAAGAAGGTGATGCATAAGAAGATGAGGACGTGCCTGAATGGGAACTTCGAAAGAAGCATCCAATCACTATAAGACCAATTTATGTTTCGATGAAAGACGTCTCGTCGGTGCATAAGTGATATTCCCATGACTAGTTCAAGCCTGAAAATCAAGTTAAAAAAAGTCCCATCATGGGCTTCTGAGGGGGCCATCACTAGCAAACTCCACCAAATAGCAAAGCAGTATCCAAATGTTGATGCCATCAAATGGTAAAAGGATTGTCCAAAAACATATGAAAGAGGCAAGCCCTTCCTACCAAACCAGGACATCCAACGCCTACCACTTGGAATGAGAAGGTTTCATGATTGGTACTTGCGTGTTCTCCTAACGAGCATAGACCTCGTGCAAGCATGCTTCCCCACCTGCACATTTGGAAGTCCAGCCAGGAAAATTATCTTTGACTTCAATGACATACAGACATGCTTTCACCTCGGAGCAATGAAAATGAATCTAATTCGCACGTGATGCCTGTAAGTCCTTGTCCTCCCGATATGATTTGAATGTAATCTTTAAATTTTGTTGTAACTAATCCACGCCGTGATTTGTAGAATGCAAGTGCACATTGTAAAATAAATGCCAAATGTGAAAATCAGGTATATAGACCCTCAAGCTATAGCACAAATAAATTTTAATTATCCTAGACAGTGGAAACTAGATGACAAAGAGCTAGCTGCTGGAAAGACCCTTCGGAAGAAAGAGGACATACGTATGAAGAAACTAAGGCAAGAGTCCCTTAAGGTTTCGGCATACATTGCCCTGGCTTTTAAAAATCTTCAACGGCACTCTACTATATGGCTACCATACAACTTCGAGTAAGTTCAACTCTATACTTAAAGCTTTGCTCGATATATTTTATTCGATGCAAAAGAGCTTATCTAGTTCTATAATTAAATCCATGCAGCAACCACTGGATTTGTATAGGCGTCGATGTCGGAAGGAGCATGGTATGGGTCTTTGATTTAATAGATAGGGACCCAGTGATATACAAAGACTTCATATTGATTCTCAAGACGTATATATATCGACAATCCTCGTTAGCTTATATGTTTGTATATATACATGTAACATTCACTTTTGGATACTAACAAGTTGTATTTGCTAAAATAATTCGAACAGGGCATTTAGGTTCTATGTCAATAAACATCACGGAAGGCATGATCCAGTAAGGAAAGAAAGGCTGGCTATAAAAACACTATGTGCAGTAAGTGTAACTTACTTCAGTACTCCATTATATGGCTGTCAAAAGCATTACTTAATATTTTCATATGCAAAACACACAGTGCCCTAAAAAGAAGCATGGGAGTGTACATTGTGGATACTATATATGTTCTATGATGAGTAACATCGGTGCCTACAGGAGACACCCCTTAAGGGTAAGTTTGAACCTCTTCACCCGTAGTATAAAAACTTCACACATGGTATGAAATACTAAACCGAAACTTGTTCTCTTGTAGTGGAAAGAAGAGAAAGAAATGAAAAGAGACACATACAAGGATGACCAACTCTTAGAGCTCGTCAACGACCATTGCAACTTCATATTGAACCAGATTGTACACGTCAAAGGCACCTACCATGATCGAGATTCTGACTTAGGTAGAAATCCTTAGTACCAACATCTTCGTGAGATTGAAAGGCTAGTTTTAGGCTGTTGATAACAATGCGTATGAAATTTGACATTGATTTTACCTTATGGGACACCTACATCGAGCGCCATAGCCCCGTTCACCCAGTGCACCGTGTGCTAGAGAGAGGGGAAGGAGAAATGGAATGAATGAGACTTGTGAATTATGTCTATTTAATGATGGATTGTATATATTCTTATGAATTGGACTTGTAATTGTAGTTTATATAATATTTTTATGCTTGTGGTCAGATTTGAATTATATATATATATATATGTGTGTTTTCTGGTCGAATTTAAATTATAAATTTAAAATTTTTTTATGAAAAAATATAATGTATGATGGTTGTAAACTGAACCGCCCACCATCAGGTATTATAGGGGCGGCTGTCTACTGCAGCCCTCCGGAACGCGCCGCTGCCGCCGACCACCGCGAGCTCCCTGACGCCCGCTGAGACGTCGTCCCGGCCCACGACGGCGAGGGTGCTGCCGTTGTAGGCCCCGCCCGTGAGCGCCGCGGTCATGGACACCGCCAGCACGGGCTCCGTGAGCGACGCCAGCGTGTAGGTGCCCTGGGCGCCCCCGACGAGCCACGACGACGACGCGCTGGACCCGTCCGTCAGGGCGTCGTCGATCACCGTGGTGTCGCCGAAGTGGTAGCCGGGCATCGCCGGGTGCGCCGGCCCCGGACCCTTGACAACCTGCACCGCCGTCTGCCCCGGCCCGCCCGTGATGTCGTGCATGTAGAAGTGCAGGTGGATGAGGCGGCTGCGGCCCCCTGCATCATGCGCTGCCGCCGCCGCTGGCCCAGTGGCCATGGCGAGCGCCGCCGCGAGAGAGACGAGAAAGAGGAATCTAGGCGCCGATTCAGCCATGGATCGAAGAGAGGAGAGCAAACCAGTGGAATGACCGATGGTCGAGCTCGGCTTCTTCGAGCGTCGTTACTTATAGGCTATAGCCACACCATACATGAGCGCACGCATGGTTCTATTGAGTCGCCATGGCAGTTGGCAACTTGGCATGGCATTGGTGACCGTCGTGTGCTTGCTTGCCTGCGACTCTGCCATTGCCAGTCAGAGCAAGAACAGCTTGGTGACCGGCCTACTGGTACGTGACAACTACGCTACGCTACACGACTAACATGCGTCCTCGCCGCCGTCTAGACTCTAGAATGTCTCCCGATCAGAAAAGGCTGAGCCAGCTACCGACGCGTTCTGAAAATTGGCAACCTGTACATGGGTTCGCGTCTAAGACATTCATATGGTGATATGGGTCACGGACGTCAAACTTACTCGCGGTGAAGCCACTCAAAATCACAAATAATATAACTACCAGATACAAGTCATTCTCTTCCTCGACCTAGCAACCGTTCTAAAAGCTCTCTACCAGTACCACCCCATCGGCATCCAGACACTCAGAGTGCAAGGCTGTCAGTGAAAAGCAACATAATAACCTCGACATGGATATCGATATGCCAAGTCAGCCTGGACGTTCGGTTAGACCGAACCGAACCGATCGGTTCCTCGGTTTTTACCAAACTTCGGTTACCAGAAAACGTGAACCAATCGGTTAGTTAGAAATCCCAAGACCGAGGAATTCGGTCTCAGGTAGTTCGGTTTCGGTCCCGGTCATGACCGAACTATCCGACCTAGACATATTTACATAGCAAACGGGTGCCTCCTTCACCAAACTAGACAAAATCGGGGGCACCAGGATGATCATAGGCCTGCCGTTTTCATTCAGCATCAACCAATCACTGTGACTCTTCCATGACACACTTAGGATATGCTACTACCTATAATCCTATCCTATCCTATATACAAAATGAGGACCATTACATGATACATCAAGAGTAGTTTCTGGACCATAATCGATCAGATCTTCTCAGACTGAGAGCTGATAGTCAGAACAAGCCCGAAGTGGTCGCTGGGTAAGACAGGTAACACCAGCTGACAGATCTCCTGGCGAACTTTCTTCTCCTTGATGTACGTGACACCTGGTATCACTTCCTCCCCGATCATCTCGATGCTCTCGACCTTGAAATCCGACAACTTGCACACGAACCGGTCCAGCCTCTTCTGCAGCTTACGGTTACCAGATAGCATGACGTTAGCTTTCGTGTCGTAGGTCCAGCCATTTTCGCCGGGCTTCAACTCATCCCAAGCGTCGATCCACCCATCTGGTAGGGGGAAGGGCCCATCTCCCTTGTCATCCCAGTTTGTATCCCCGCAGAATATTACATTGCGGAAGGCTCCCAGAGTCCTCACAGATTCATTTGCCTGGCCTACTCTTTCCTTGCTGAACATCTGGTCCCAAGTAGGAGGTCCAGGGGATGGGCTCTCAAGGTGGCTTGTAGCCACCACCAACTTGATCACACCTCCAACAGTCACATCAGCTATGCACAGCTCCCGTCCCATTTTTGAGTTATAGAATGGTTTGCGGTCAAACGACTTCACAGGCAACTTGCTCATCTGAATTTGTTTGTAACAAAGTAAATCAGGATATACAGTCCTCAACCAAGGAACAACAAAATTGCACAAGAAATGGCATTTCTGGATGCGCAAAGTTCAGGCACCAAAAGACTAAACATAAAAAAAATCATGAGGCAAACAATCCAAAGTAAAAATGCCTCAACATGTAAAACACAGCATATGCAGATGTTGCTGTTAATACTATGCAGAGAAGCAGGAAGCCCATCAGTGTATGGGCAGGCATGAGTATCCTTTGTTGCGTGCCTGAAAAGTAGTAAGCCGTATAGTAGCACCAGCTTATCCATACGGAGTACAGATGGACATGAGCGCATAAAACAGTAACAGGATAGCTAAGCTTTCTAACATCCTGAAGGGATAGAGTTTACCTCACATTTTATTAAAACCTAGGTACATCTAATATTCTGAAATCTGAATTATGGAACAGGAATTTAGCTCAGATAAAGAAACAGGCTGAGGTAGTGACTAAGCCTTCGAAATGGCAACTAAATCCAGTATTAAACCATGAAATGAATTCTATGCATCAAGAAAACATAAGTACATAACCCTAGCCCCATGTTATAAAAAAACTAAAAAGAGAAGTCATATGGAACAGTATTTTAAACCTTGACAGGAAACTTAGATAAACTTATAGACTCTAAGCAATTCTAATAGAGTATTACATGCCTAAAGTGGTTAATGGTTTATACCTGCATAAAGTAGTATGGTATTTCCATGACCATCTCAGTTTGAGAAATGTTTTATACCTGCATGCTGTAATATGGTCTTTGCATGGCCATCTCATGCGGCAAGGAGCATTTGTAAGCTTGCCACCAATCCGATTTTTCGAAAAGCAGATAAATGTTTGGAGTGACCTCCTGCAGTTCCACAAATGAATATCCGAAACCCAAGTAGAAGAGGAAAATAAGTAATGCATAGTTTGAATAAAGGACCTGGAAGCATATAAGATCTGGGCTGTGATGCTGAATAAGATCTCCAATAGCATTCATCCTTCTAATCAGTTCCAATTCCTCTCGGAACCATACATTGTATGTCATTATTTTGACAGTCTTCTTATCCGAATGATTATTTGAATTTCCTATTGAAGTCATTTAGCCATCAGTGTGACGATAGCATACAATTAGGATAGTATATTTGGACATATACAGAATATGAACCCAGCTTATAGCATGCATGAGTTTGATTGCAACTTTTAATTTTTTATCGAAAACACATGATAAACCTCTTTATAATATCAGTTCATGCAATGATGCAAAGAACAAAAATGGTGCGATCACGTAAAAGTTTCATAAAATAAATAATGTAGCCATGATAGAAAACCATATTAGCATCAAGCTGAAATATAGCCATGAACAATAATGGAAAAACAATATCTAATTTTCAATCAATAGAATAGTGCATCAAGATTTCTCATCAGCGAACATCTGTACCATTATCACCATCAGTTAGTGGATAAGCAATGATAAAATTAATGCCTTATAAAGGACCAATTGAAGATAGATAAGCTCTGGATTGCAACTTCTAAAAGAAAACAGATATAAGCTATGATGTTGCAAGTGCCAGGCCAAATACTATGTAAAATATAGGTGAGCTAAATCCATAAATGCACGATGCGACAATAATAGAGGGCACACTTTTTGCTGGTAACTAGCTTCCAGAGATGAGGATGATGACATGTGTAAGACTGTTATGGGTTTACAGAAAAGGTAGAACGTGGTAAAAAATACATATGGTCAAAAATATGTAAACAACTTGTAACTGAATAACTGATTAAAATGTAGCGTATCAAGACAAGAAAGAATCATATATTTGTATCCAACTATCAAAAAGTGGAGCCTAAAAGGAAGAGAGAAAAATCAGCAGTTCACATGAAACAGGTTATCAAAGTAAAATAGCCAAAAGGTGACCAAGCTAATACCAAAACAAGACAAATAGCACTCAGACTCAAATGAAGTTGATCCCTGATACACCCATATCCATGGTGGCAAAAAGCCAAAAACATACCTCAATTTGAGGTCTTGGCCACACCAGATGCGAAATAACTACTAATTAGCAGTTGTTAACATGTGACTAACATTTCTGCCCGTCCCTACTTTCTCCGATTTCATATTATAGTGACTAGTTTGTTACATTTATTGGCCAAATCTTACTGAGGGGATTTAGGATTCAGGAACAATAATAAGCAAATCTATGTTTCAAAATTACCCTCAGAAACCAACGAATATCTATGGCTTCCAAAAATCTAACCTTGGTAAAGAAACAAAAGAACCTGACTACCACAGATTATGCGATATTGAACCATGTAATAAAATAAGGATTAGTACTATAATGCCACGAGGAAGCAATTCTTGGCGCATCCACCACCAACGTTAACGGAAAAATCGAATATTTAATCCGCGAAAAAAAAAGAATGGGAAACCCCTAAAAAAACCTTTCTTGGCGGCGGGCGCCTTCTCCTCTTCCTCCGCCGCGCCGCCGCCCCGCTCGTCAACGGCGCGCGCCTGAACGGCCTCCGGCGACACCGCGGGTTCCCGCTTCGCCGCGCGCCGCTGTAGCGGGAGGAACGCGGCGCCGGCGAACGCGCCGAAATCCAGCGGGTCGTCGGCGCAGTCCCACGACAATAAACGGAGGTTGGTAGCGGAGGACATGGCTCGGCAGGGCGACGTGGCGACTCTTCTTGGGAGGGGGAGGGGAGGGGAGGGGAGGGGGATGGTTTGAGGGCGCAGAAGGTGCGGAGAAGCGAGAAAGGCATCCGGATGTTCCAATTGGGAGCCGTTTGGTCCGGTCGAGTCCCGCAGGATTTTAGGGGATCTCTGGTTCTGTACTTCTGTCCTTCGGCTCTCCGCGAAAAGAAAAAAAAAAATCAGCCCAATGTAATGCGTCGTGAGAACCTATTGATATTATTATTATATTTCCTTCGTTCCATAAAAAAGTCATTCCCGCTTTCGAGCAAACATTGAATATATTTTCATAGTAAAGAGATACAAATATTATTTATATTTTCTACAAATATATTCAATTTTTAAAAAATTGATCAGCACAAATCACATAGTGACTCTTTTTATAGGACAGAGAAAGTACATCTCTATCTATACACAGGTAGTATTCAGAAGTATTCAATAAAGTCAAAAGGAACATTTAGAAATAAATGTTATGGTATAAGTCTAGGGGGACATAGTCGCATGTACTTGGAAACAAATGCATCAATAGATAGACCAACAAAAAATTCTCAAGTAATAGCCTAATTTCAATTTTATCAAACATCATCGAGGAAACACATGCACACTTCTTTACGGTGCAATTTCATCATTAAGAAATCCATTTCAACACATGCCTTAGTGAAATTTTACATCATATAAAAGCGATAGTATACCTAGCATTGTGTTCATCTCTAGCATCCAACCAACCATTCATCTATGGCACACATAAGAACATGAGGGTGAAGGGAGGAGGTGTGCATGAGTCCAATGGTAGGTACAAGGTCGAAGAGGTGGAGACCAGTGATGGCTGGCGTGGACATGTAGATGGAAGAGTTCACTAGAGTGGAGGAGGAGCCTAGCCTCGTGGAGGTCAAGGAGAAGGAGGAGGAGGCATTGAAGCATACAAAGTGGATGAAGGGGAGGGGGAGCCTCGCTTCAAGAGACATGATGGAGGATTGTTGTGTGTTCTCAAGGTGAGAGGAGGGGTGGCAAGTCGCCCACAGCAGGGTAGCGTAGGTTAGCTACATCGTGGTGTGGAGGAGATCTAGCACCACGACGACATGGGACTAAGGTCGATGAGAGATTATAGCTAGGAGGTTTTGAAATGATGATGCCGTAATAATATATGGACATTTCAAAAGTTAGAACAAAAAAATACTAAAACGAGTTACTATAATAACTTGCACCAATAAGACTTGTCACTTAGGAGTGAGTAATATGTAGCAAACTATTACTATTATTATAAGTGATGGAGCATGATCCCTGTCGACAAAAGATGCTCGGCAGTCCTCCGAGGGGTATCCCACGAAGGTAGATTGATCGATGGAGGTGCGCGTGATAGGAACCGGATGGTGACACAAGGCGCAGAGACAATGATTTAGACATGTTCAGGCCGTCTGATCGACGTAATACCCTACGTCCTGTGTCTTTGGTGTATTGTATTGAATATGAGATCTATGGAGATATATGTATCTATCGTCTAGGGGACCCCTGCCTCTCCTTATATACTCTGAAGGGGTAGGGTTATAAGGAAAATATCCTATTTGATACTATACAATATCTTACGGTGCACGTCGACCAGTGTCATGCACGCCTTGATCTTGTGGGCTGGGCCATCTCAGATGGTGCGGCCCATGTCTTGTCTTTATGATACTGGGGGGCCATACCCCACGGCTAGTCTCCGAGCCTAACAGTAGGTGACGCAGTCACGTGGTGCCAGGGTCAGAAAGTAGAAGAAAGACAGAAGACCGGCCGAGCAGGCAACCAGTCCATGGGTGGAGCCCCGAATCGAAAAGCACACATTCACCGCAAAGGTGAAGTGTGCCCACTTAGTCCCCGAGCCTGCTGGAAGATGAAGAATGAATCTTGTAGCAGGGTCAAAGAAAAAGAAGTCTGAAAGCTTGTCGACGTCGTGCGACATGCGCGTATCAAGACCAGACGTCTTGCCCAAGATCAAGACCGATCCAAACAAACATGGAGCGACTTGATAGCACACCGATTAGACGTAGCAAGATCCGACCATCAAGGGAGTCCTCGGCGTGGTGGCGATGTCCTAGCACCGAGGAGTCCCGCCGCGTGGTGGCGATGTCCGAGCACCGAGGAGTCTCCGACGTGGTGGCGATGTCGTCGGGCATCGAGGAGTCTCCGGTGTAGCTAGCGAAGTCCGAGCACCGAGGAGTCCTCGGCGTAACTGGCGATATCCGAGCACCGCCGAGGAGTCTCCGCCGTAGTTGGCGATGTTCGAACACCAAGGAGTCCCCGACGTAGTTGGCGATGTCTGAGCACCAAGGAGTCCCCGACGTTGCTTGCGATGTCCGCAAGGTGAAGTGGGGTGAAGTGTGCCCACTTGGTCCCCAAGCACGAAGAATCTGAGCGCCGAGGAGTAACCGACGTAGCTGGCGATGAAGCACGAGCGACGAACAGTCTGGCAACTGATCGGCGGCGAAGTGAGCATTGAGTAGAAGCGACCGACGAACAGTCCAATCAACTAGTCGGTGACGAAGTCCATGAACCTAGCGGTCCGACCAGTTGATCGGTGGAGAAGTCCGAGCACCAAGTGGTCCGATCACCTAGACGATGATCCTGCAATACAAATATGTAGAACAGGTAGTACATGATGTAAAAATATATGAAGCCCGAAGAAAAATCAGTAATGACGATGAAATAGCGTATGCAGCTCGGCGATCAGTTTGTGTGAAGATGTATTTATATTTAATATAAACCGCTGAAAGGACCTAGGATGCCGCCTAGAGGGGGGGTGAATAGGCGTTTCTGAAAAATAACACCTTTAAATGCGGAAACAATTAGAAAGGGGAGTTTCCAAAGATGGAAACTCCAAATTAAAGTACTACCACCCCTCACAAGTTAGCCACAAAGTAAACAAGGTATAAAGAATATATCTAGAAGCTACAAACCCCGCAACACCAAGTTAGAACAGAGAATAAATATTTTCGGTGCAGGCAGGAAATCTGGGGACGAATCGGTTGAATACTGGGACGGACGTGTCCAGTATATACGATTACGCAAATCGGCCCCGAACTTGCTCCTTTCGATTTCTATCTTCAAACCAAACTGCAGGCACCTAATGGAGATGACAATATACAGAGAGAGAACCTCAGAATAGCTAGAGCAACACAAATATCAAATGAAATGCGAATTTAGACACGATATTTGTTTCCGAAGTTCGGACTCGTTCGAGTCCTACTCTCCGTTGAGGGGCTGCGGGCGACCCAACAAGGTCAGCCCTAGAGGGTACCACGAAGGTCACTCTAGCTGAGTCTTTTCCAACTCCTTTTCCTCCTTCCACTAATTTGATTCCGAGGTAGTGAAATCGACCGTTACAAATTTTCCGAAGCAACCACAATCTCTCGGTTGCTCTCCGTGACGCCTAACCGTTTAGGACCGAAGAGTCCAAGAGTAACAAATCACGAATCACGAGATTGACAATATGCACAAGTGCTCAAGTGGTGGCTTGCTCTCTTTTCAAATTCTCTCTCAACCCACAAATTGATTTTGCAATTTGGATCACACACTCACTAAGAGAGGGTTTAGGAGAGTTGGCAAGGCTCAAAAACGTGTGTCTATCTCGGTGAGAATCAGTGACCTCCAAAGGTGGAGGCTTGGGGGTATTATAGCCCCCTTGAAAAACTAACGTTTTATAGCCGTTGCAATACCGGACACGTCCGGTATGCATACGGACACGTCCGGTATGACTCGAGATGCGCCAACGGTAACTAAGTTTCTGATGATGTTGTGAGGCGTCGGAACTCCCGAAGTATGCGGGACTTCCGACCGTCGGAACTCTCGACTCAAGTCGGAACCCCGACCCTCAAAGCAATTTTGAAAACATGTGGCGAAGTTAAAGTTAGTGAGGTGTCGGAACTCCCGGCGCATGTCGGAACTCCGACCCTCACGGCTTTTGAAAACTAGCCGTTGGCTTCGGTCATCCATCTGGGACACGTCCGGTGTGAATACGGACACGTCCGGTATGACCAGGATAGTGAAACCTTTAAGTCTGTTGAAGTGCGAGACGCCGGAACTCTCGACCCATGCCGGGACTCCGACCGTCGGAACTCCGACCTACGTCGGAACTCCCGGCAAAAGCAACCCGAGAACAACAATTTTACATTTCTTTGGACAACACGGACACGTCCGGTATGAATACGGACACGTCCCAGATTATTGCTGAACCAACAAGAAATCGATTAGCACATTTGTCGCTCAAATAATCAAACCTCACATGGGTTGGCTTGAGCACTTATGAAACATTATCTCTCAACATGATGCATCCCTCTTAATAGTACGGCATACCTATTAAACTCAAGATCAAAGGAAAAATGAATTTATACCACTTGAGTTGATTTCTTTTGAATTGATGCCGTCCCTTCCAATCTTCATCAAGTAAGGGTGCTAACAAGTTGATGTTGATCTTTTCATTTGAGCATAGCCATCTTGAGCATGTGACTTGATTCCATTCATCAAATTTGAATAACCCCAAATGTATCAAGTCACTTCCATCAAATACTTCATTATAGATTTGATTCTTCACATCAATATGACCATCTTAGCTTGATTAGTACCTCAACTAAATGCAAGTACTTTCTTCTTCACCCTAGCTAGGTTCTTGACCGCCAAGCCGTCAGCTTGCCCTTCACCCTTGCTTAGTACCTCGAAGCCTTTCCTTGCTATCTTCACCATCTCAAGCCATCAAGTCACATCTTGTGTTGAATCATCCATTCATATGTATTGTTATCTTTTTCATTTTAATTTAGCAAGCTTCAAATATGAGACCATTCCATACGCAATCCCTCATGTCTCATTAACTAATAATCATGAGCTTGCTTTCACATAGTACATGGAAATCCCACAAAAAATAAGCCTTCACATGAATTCCATTTGCATTGTTGTCTTGTGCTTGAACTAGATTGTTTATACAACAACACATCATT